ACATGATACGTGTACAATTTGATATCCATATTGAACACGTCTAGACATGATTAAAGAGAGAACGTCAAATTGATTCGTATAAAAATGTTTAAGTTATTAGAGTAAGTGATAAATTTACAGATTTACACTTTGCCTTCAACCGTCCCTCTGTACGCAATATATATATATATATATATTTTTTTTTATTTTTTTTTTAATTAAAAGACCTATTAGGTGCACAATATTTATTATTTATATATCAATGATGGCAGATTTGAACTCGGCCTGCTTGACAAAGCTTCTAGAAGAGATAATACGTATACACAAGAGAGATATTTATCCGTTACTTTATTCAAGACTGTCCAATTTAACATATCAAACTTACGTAAAACTGTGATTCGGTACACAAAGGAGAGGTCCTACATATACCATATCCATTTTCTTTCCACCTTTTCTTCATATCCCCCTTATATTCTCGTGACTACCTCTTGCAATTCACAAGTTTACATATCCAACAGAAACTCATCAAGAACATGTTCAAAACTGTCCAATAGTATAATTGGTGGGTTCAATTCATATATGGCCAAGAAACTGAAAATCCCTTCCATTTTCAAGAACAAAGAAACAAAGCATCCATGGCAGTGGTTCTCATGCAAGCAACAGCCCAAAACACATTCTTTTCGAGCAGACGACAAAATTTTCGAGACCGATAACTTGGGTTTATCCGACCCTTCCAACAGGGTTGGAACTCCTAAATCTTGCTTTACATATTCCGAGGACAATCCTGGAGGTGAATCAGTAGAGATGATCATTCGTGGGGTGCAATCCGAGAGGTTGATTTTCGAGCCAAGCAACACGAGTTCATCAATCTTAGATGAGGCGAAAACGAGTGGAGTTTTACCATTGAAGGAGAGTATAGTACTAGCAATAGAGTCAGATGATCCTTATATAGATTTCAAGAAGTCCATGGAGGAAATGGTGGAGACTCATGGGTTGAAAGATTGGAAATGCTTGGAGGAGTTGTTAGGATGGTATTTGAAGATGAACGAGAGGACGAATCAGGGATTCATCGTCGGAGCATTCGTCGATTTGCTTAGAGGACTTGCATCTTCTTGCTCTAATTCGACAAATTCTTGTTCTGGTTTTACATTGTCTTCTTTTTCTTCTTCTTCTCGTCCTTCTCCTCGTATCATTAGTAAGTCACGGTGATGATTTTAATTGTTGAAGAGAATATTGTATCCATCTAATAGTTTAACCTTCTATGTAAAATGACTTGACATGATAACAGAGTAGATGGAAATCCTAAAGATCAAATCTCATGGCAGTCTATTTAGGAAAGCAATTCAAGTATCACGGCCTTAATGAGAAAATTGAATCTAACCTGCCCATATGCGAAGCAAAGTG